TATTACCATGCTTGTTAACAAAAATGAATATTAGGAAAATGAAACTTGACCTGACTGGGGTAAGGGTACTAGTAGAAGAGGGGAGGCGAAATCAGAACAGTGAAGGAGGGCGAATATGGTCAAAATACTTCATGTACATGTGTGAAAATGGAACAATGAAGCTTATGATTGGTTTAGAAGGCGATGGAGGAGGGAAAAGGATGTAGGGAAGAAATGTAATCAAGGTACATTGTGTGCACATGTGGACATTTCCAACTAACTGATACCATTATTTTTTTTTAAGTATAAGGCTGTAGATATTTAATGACTTGGGAGATTTTGAGCCATTCAGGTACCCCCAGAAACTTCAGTAGAAACAGTTTTTAAGGATAGACATAATGGATTAGGATGCTTTGTTTTGCACAAGAACCAAGGACCCCACATTATCATTCTACTCAGTAGAACCATAATGAAGGGGGCCTTAGTATCTCTTCTGTGGTAGCCTAAAATGTGGGTAAGATTGCCAACATACAAGATGGAGCCCAAGTTCATGACAATCAGGGAAAATATCAGTGATTGGTCAGTGTGGGTCTTTGCCATCCCAGTACAACTCCACTCCTGCCTGGTCAGCACAGCTTTCATTGATCCATTTGGAACAGTTCCTGCATAAAATTCTTGCTGAACTGTCATTGTAGCTTCACCTTCCTTGAAGACACCTGAAAGTGGTTCTCAACAATGAGAACCATTATTTTTTAAAAGAATCAAATGGCCAGGTGTTAGTGACTCCTGCCTGTAATACTTGCTACTCAGGAGGCTGATCTCTCGGTCATGGGGCTTGAACTCTGGGCCTGGGCACTGTCCCTCAGCTCTTCAGCTCACTTCTGGTTTTCTGGTGTTTTATGAGAGATAAGATAAGCCTCCTGAGTAGCTAGGATTACAGGCGTGAGCCACCCGTGCCTGGCTGTGAGACTCTTTTATCAGCAAAAAGCCAGAAGAGAATTTGTGGCTCAAGTGGTAGAATCCAGCCTTCAGCTTGAAAAAGCTAAAGTTCAGAGCCCAGGCCCTGAGTTCCATCCTGGCACCATAAAAGAAAAGAAAAAGAAAGAACCAATGTTCGGTTGCCAGGAGGGTACCTCAACTAAATTTGGAGAATAAAAGAGGAGCTTTATAAAAGGGCAAAAGGCAGTGAAGAATAGTGGGCAGCTTGCATTCCCTCAGTTTCCACCCCGCAGCCTCTTCACTGTGCAGGGGAGTGGGTGGGGATGCATACAAACATGGATAAAATTAAGATATTCTTAGCCTCCTCCACACTTCTTAAATGTGGAGCCAGCTCTGATCATATCTGAATATAGTCATGGTGATGATTTTCTTTCTTTGTTCTTGTGCCTCTTGATTTCTCTGCCTTTTGTTGGTTCACATTGGGCCTGACATTCTAGGTGAGCATGAGAAACGTATTTGCACATCTTTATGCACACCTTGAGGGTGACCTCACCTCCTCCCACTCTGTGTAGAACTGAATCCCAGTAGCCAAGTAGCCTTCGACTGCTCTGTCGAGGGGTTCAGTGTCACTCCTCCAGGTGGGTGCTTGTGCATCTAGACTTGTGCTCTGAAGTACTATTGTAATTATCAGTGATTTTCATATTGGGAACAGAAAAAGAGCCTGGCTAAGCAATGAAGGCAAAGGCTTCTCCTGTAGAGGTTCTATATTGCTCACTATGACCTTAAGTGGGTTCCTGGACATCACATCATAGTCCATGGCCTATGTAAGACTTGCATGTAAACAACAGGCTGGTGACTGAACTGGCAACCAAGTCAGAGGGGCTAAAGGATGCCTAGAGAGTTTGTGTAGGCTGCGTGGAGCCTCTCATTAGGTCTTCAGACTGATATGGCTTGTGGGCTGTCCAATGAGTTTAGGAGTCCTGTAGCTCTCTCTCTTAGAGGCACTTTTATAACCCCTGCACAATGGCACCCCAAACAGTGCCCTCTCTTAGGACTCCTTCTGTCTTAACAGGAGCTCTGCTTATCTTTTAAATTTCAATAAGTTATTGCCCCCATGTTGGTGGATTCATTTTTTGAGACCATAGAGACAAAGAAACTCATCTAGGTGCTGCAGATTTCTTCAGTCTCAATAACATGGCCACTCATTTCTATCTTTAAAAAAATTAGACTAGTAGAAGGAGCTGGGATGAAGAAGGAACTCATCTCTCTAGTTAGTTGTCATATTCAGCTTGCTGAAGCTCTGAGATTTGGTTCTTCTGTAAAACATCCTGATGAGTTCTATCCCTTCAATGTCCTGATTTCCCTGGTGTCTTAAGTGTCATGCTGTATGTGAGGTCTGGACTCAGTTCATTCCTAGTGCCCACGTGGCCAAGTCCACTTTCTACTCAGAAACTGAGGCTTTCAAACTTTTTGTGTATGAGCTCATTCCAGTCTCAAGAGAAAAGCGAATGAAATAGAAATGTGCCAGGCCTGACTATGAAGTCCTAATATTTGCTTCACAGAATAAACTGTACAAAGAGGTGTTTTAGCTGAAATTCACAACATTTTTCATGATTCTGAAGGTTGATGAGAGCCAGTTTGTGCTATATAACACAACAGGAAGCCTAGTGGCAAAGATTGGAAATTCCTGCTTAGCTAGTTGGCCAGGCCAAGTACCATGAAGTCAACAGGCTTGCAAGAGCCTTATTTGAGACGTTAAAGATGAGATCACTCAAGGTTGTGGCAGGTGACCAGTAAGAAAGCCACATGAGGAGTAATAATCAGGAAAGCTTCAAGATGAGCATAGAAAGAACAGGCACAGGGAGGATGGGGTAGGGGGCATGGAGTCATCAGCAGACAGCCACTGTGGTACCAATGGACTTCAGCTTTCCCTTACCCCTGCCCTCCAACCATATATTCCCAGGTAGCTTCCAAATGCCTAGATTTCTCCATGCCCTAGAATTTTTAGGCCCCTTAACCTCTTCCAATTAAAGGGATATCACTGAAAAAGAATCACCTGCCTTGTTATCACCACATTTAGAGCCATGTAGGGAGGCAGAAGTTACATGTGCAACATGGGGCTCATCAACACTGGCCACTAGTTCATTGTTTCTGGGCATCGTCTCTCTCACCCATGCCCTGATCGTTCTTGCTTCCCTGCCAGTGCTAATGTTATTATTCCTCCTTGATTTCTTTCCCTCTGTCACATACTTGACAACCAATGTTCATCTCATGTCCAGACTGTGTCGGCCTGCACTGAACAGTTTCCCATCGCTGGAAGCTCTGTGTAATGTGATAGGGTTCATTTGTCATGGGGGAAGGACAGTAATTCCCTCAATGTGATTATTAAGTAGTTTGTGAATTTCTAAAGCATGGGAACTGTGTCTTCCAGAGACTTATGGTACTGGAGAAAGTAGGGATTAGGGAGAGTAACCTGGTATTTCATTCTGGCTCTATAACCTGGTAGATAGATATCTCTCTCTAGGCCAGTTTCCCTCTGTGAAACACAGAATTTGTAATTCTTTACACTGGTTTTGTTATACAGAGATCAAATGCTCCAATCCAATAATGTCCAATAACAAAGTGGCACTATGGCTCAAATGGTAGAGTGCTAGCCTTGAGCAAAAGAAGCTCAGGTATAGTGCCCAGGCGCTGAGTTCAAGTCCTAGGACTTGTAAAAAAAAATAATGTCCAATAACAGCATTTGAATCTTATTAAGCATCCCTATGAGATTCCATAGGCTTCTGAGAAAGGCAAGGGAAACTGGTCGTCTGGATTTGGAGCAGGTATTTCTTCCCATTCTATAGGTTGTTCTTTTCGCTGTTCAGAAGCCTTTTGATGTAATCCCATGCATCTACTTTTCTTTCATTTTTCCAGTTTAAGGTTCTTAATCCTACTGTGAACAAATTTAAGACTAATTTTGCATGACTTGGCTAATCTAGACTAAATCTGTATTTTCAGAAGCTAGATAACCCCGAGAAAATGTTGCTGATATACAAATCAGAAGCAAATAACAGATTTAAAGTGTTGTGTTATCCTAAATTTAGTAGAGTACGATTTTTTTTAAAAAAATATTTATATCTCAGGGCTGGGAAGGTGGCTCAGTGGTAGAGTGCTTGCTTTGCATGCCTGAGGCCCTGGGTTCAATTCCTCAGCACCACATAAGCAAAAAGAAAAAAGCCAGAAGTGGTGCTGTGGCTCAAGTGGTAGAGCGCTAGCCTTGAGCTGAAGAGCTGAGGGCAGTGTCCAGGCCCAGAGTTCAGGCCCCATGACAGGACCCAAAAAACAAAAACTATATATATATATATATATATATATATATATATATATATATATAATTTCAGAAATTTGTCTTACACACACAAGAAGGACATTTATCTACATGGTTCAATGGATGTCTTTGAAAATGAAGCAATGTCCCAGTAGATAAGACAGTAAAGCAAAGGGGAGGGTATGTTACAACTTATAATAATAAGTATATGTGTGTGTGTGCATGCGTGCATGTGCATGTGTATGTAAACTAAATTTCCTTTGTAGAAAGAGAGGTTATTTTTTGTCTAAAAAAATCAATGTTAAATTAATATAGAGTCCTTGGGAAATTTTGAAGATCACAACCTAAATCTCTCTTAAATCTAACCACCTAAAATTAACTGTTCTTTAGATATATCCCTCCAGTCTCTAATTAGATGTACATTTGTCTGTCTTTTAAAATAAAGTAAGTAGAGGCTTGGCTCAAGTGGTAGAGCAGCCTTGAGTGAAAAAGTCAAGCAAGAGTGTGAGGATCTGAGTTCAAGTCCCAGTACCAGCACCAAAAAAAAAATTAAAAATAAAATACATTAAAATTTATAATTATATATAGTATATATACCCATATGTATACCCATATATACCCATATATATACCCATATATTCATATGTCATGAACATTTTGTCACATTAGTTTACTCTTTTATGATATATTTTTTCTTATGCCTGCACAGTATTCCATCTCGTGGAATAAACCTGTTAACAGGTCTATGTCCTCTTGTTGCTCCTCCCCCCAGGTTTTGGAGCCCTCTCTTACATCAAACATCTGCTCTACTCATCCTCTGAGTGTCATCTCAGGACCTGGGCCACACTCATGGCACGATGGCCAGCCCTCAGGAGCACCTGAGTTGCTCCCCGTCTCCATGCTCACCCGTGAGTGAAAGCCAGACCTTCACTGGCCTACAAGATGAACTCGCAGCCATGGGGAACCACCCTTTACCCAAGCTCCTCGAGGACCAGCCGGAAAGAGGCGTGGTACGCCCAGAGCTAGTGGAGAGTGTAAGCAGCCCCATCACCACAACAGTGTTGACCAGCGTCAGCGAGGACTCCAGGGACCAGTTTGAGAACAGTGTTCTTCAACTGAGGGAACAAGATGAAGCAGAGGTGGCTGTGTCTCAGGGGAACAACAGCACAGTAGATGGTGAGAACACAAATGGGACTGAGGACATCAAGATTCAGTTCAGCAGGTCGGGCAGTGGCAGCGGGGGGTTTCTCGAAGGACTCTTCGGATGCTTGCGACCTGTGTGGAACATCATTGGGAAAGCATATTCCACCGATTACAAACTCCAGCAGCAAGGTAAGCTATAGTGTTCCAGATATGCAGACCTGGAAGAGAGTCCTTGCATAACCACCCCTTAGCTACCAGCTCCAGCGTCTAGATAACTTTTGACATGTGGATGAATTAATAAAGAACTGGGTCAGATGTCTTCTCCATTTCAGTTTCCTAGGGACTTCTGAATGGAGCAGGGTCACATCTGGTGGGCCTTTGTTGGTGGAAGCCCATCTTTTGTAATCATCCACGCTAATGATATTCAAAGTGGAATAGATACCTGGGATCATAAGAAGAAAACACTAGAGCTCCTTTTAAAAATTTTCTATTTCCATGTATGTTTTGGGTATATCGTATGAAAGATGAAAATAGTTTAATATCGGTGTGAAAATATGAAAATAGTGGGTATATATTTTTTCTGATAAAATCAAATAGTCTGATGGTCAGGGCTGAGGCAGGAGGATTACTTACGCTCAGGAGTTTGAGGCCAGCAGGATTCAGTCTCAAAAGAAGAAAGGAAGGAAGGAAGGAAGGAGAGAGAAAGAAAAGAGGAAAGGAGAAGAAAGGGAAAAGAATGAGAATACAAATACATATACACACACTCGCGCAAGGTGCTGATGGCTCATGCCTATAATCTTAGCTACTCAAGAGGCTCACACAATAAGAAAATCTGGAAAAGGAAATGGAAAAGGAAAAGGGAGAGGAAAGGAGAGGAGAGGCCATTGGACTGATTCAAAATCAGACATAAGCTGGCGTGCCACATGCCATATGTTAATGTCCCTGAAGGTTATGGTACTGCTGTAGATTATAGTAAATAGAATTCTTGTCTTAGAGTAAAGCTCACATTTTGAAGAAAAAAACCCAAAATATCTAATCTTAAAAAGCATATAATTTCTAGGTCCCACGGCTGTTTTTTCTTGGCCATACTAGGCATTAACCCTAATGCCTGGTGCTTGCCAGACAAGTGCTCTACCCCTTGAGCTGCATCTCCCGCCTCTCTCTCTCTCTCTTTCTCTCTGTCTTTCTCTCTCTCTCTCTGTCTCTCTCACACACACCTTAGCTTTGTCAATAGTAAAATTTTAACTCCCAACATTGTATGACATGTATATTTATATATTCCAATCTAGGTGTTATGCATGCAAAACAAAGACACTATGGGGGCCTGGTAGTCTGTATAACTTAGCTATATTCCCTTAAAACCACCTTTTTCTGATAACAGGAATAATATATGTTTGCAATAGGAAAAATACAGATGTATTTCCCCCGAAGGTTAAAATGATCTAAGACCTTTAGTCTTTTGAAAAGAACCACTATTAATGTTTAAAGAATATATTATCTTGGACTGGGGCTGTGGCTCAGCGTAGAGACTTGCCTAGCATGTATAAGACCCTGGGTTTGATCTTCAGCACTGAAGGAAAAAGGGTAACATTGTTTCACTGCATAATTGTACATTTTCCATTTCAAATAGAAACAAGTTCTCATTATGTATGTAGCCTAGATTGGCCCCCTTGCTACTTTTGCCTCAGCCTTCTAAGAGCTGGAACTTCATGTTTGCACTATACTCACCATAAGCATAATTCTTAAAGGTTATTTGAAAAAAAACAACAATTTTCCTTTGTGCTGGTCCTCAGGCTTGAACTCAAGTCCTGGGCACTGTCCCTGAGCTTTTTTGCTCAAGGCCAGCACTGTTCCATTTGAACCACAGCTCCACTTTTGGCTTTTTAAGTGTTTAACTGGAGACTATAGTCTCATGGACTTTCCTGTCCAGATTGGCTTTGACCCTCAATTCTCAGATCTCAGCCTCCTAAGTAGCTGGGACTATAGACATGAGCACTCATTTTAGGGAATATTTTTAAAAGCCATATAATATTAAATTATCTAAATGTGCTGACATTTAGTTAAGCACTCTCCTAATGTTCAACATTTAGTTTGTTGTATTTTTAGTGATGATTAGCCACATTGCAGTCATTGGCTTGAAATGATTTGTTGTTTTTAAGGGTTTTCCAAGTTTTGTTTTGTTTTACATTTGCCAGTACCAGGATTTCTGTTTTAATTCACTCAATAGGAAATTTTAGAAAGAAAAAAATATGAGGGGGAGGGAAGGGATAGTGGGAGGACAACAAAGGAGGGGGAAACAATACTCTACAAGAAATGCACTCATTACCTTACTCATGGAACTGTAACCCCTCTGTACAGCATCTTTACAATAATTTTTTTAAAAAGAAAGAAAAATAGGAACCGAAATGAGAGTATAACTAAGTTTCAGATTCTCTGGCCACCCCTACTTAGAAGTCTGTTAAAAGAAACAAAATTTTTATTGTTCTACCAATTTGCATTTAATTTGTCTTCCATGTAACTTTCAGAAAGGCTTATTTCAGGAGTAATTAAGACACAGAACTGATCAGCTTAAGATTCTTACAAGGGTAAAGCAGGTGCTTAGCTCTCTAGCCGACTGCAGGACATCCCACTGAGGGATGGTGCTATTGCCTGCCTGCACAGAGATTTGCCAGCCAGAAACTAAATGTAGTATTTCCTTGTTTGCTCTGGGATCAAAGAGCTTATCTTTAATCCTGCATCACAATCGACCAAAGGATAACACATGTAACAGATGTGCCCCTATATTTGGTACTTATGCAGAAATCTTACTAGGTTTTAAAAATAATCAATGATGTCCTCCTCTCCCTTTTAATATGTCAATAGTGAAGGCCAAGTAAGGTAGTAATGAAATCTTCTACAGCCAAATGGTTTGCAGTCTCAAAGCAGACATTGTGGGGCTGGGAGGTTGGCTCAGTGGTAAAGTGCTTGCCTCGCATGCATGAGGCCCTGGGTTTGATTCGTCAGCACCACATAAACAGAAAAATGCCAGAAGTGGCGCTGTGGCTCAAGTGGTAGGGCGCTAGCCTTGAGCTGAGAGCTGAGAGACAGCGCCCAGGCCCAGAGTTCAGCCCCAACAACCAACCAAAAAAAAAGCAAACATTGTCACAGCCATGTCTGAACAAAGAAAAGAAAATATTTTCCTTAAAGTAGGCAGGCCAGGGGCCAGTGGCTCACATCTGTAATCCTAGCAACCAGGAGTCTGAGATATGAGAATCTCATTTCAAAGCCAACACTATGTAGAAGAGTCTGTGAGACTCTTATCTCCAGTTGACCACCAAAAATAAAAATAAAAAGCTGGAAACAGAGCTGTGACTCAAGTGCTAGAGTGCTAGGGTGCTAGCCTTGGGTATAACAGTGCAAGGACAGCCACCAGGCCCAGAGTTCAAGTCCTAGGACTGGCACAAAAATAAAGAAAGAAAGAGAAAAAGGAAGGAAGGAAGGAGAAAGAGAGAAAAAGAGAAAGGAAGTAGGCAAGCATGAGGGTGTTCTCTGTCCTGTGGATCATGGTGGATATTGGAATTAAGTCATAGTGACCACAGTTAAGGGACAATGCCTAGGCCCTGAACTCAAGCCCCAGTACCAGCACACACATGCGTGCACACACACACACACACACACACACACACAGAGTTAGTGGTCATGTGATTAATCAAAAAATTAACAGCTAAGGAAGAGTACTAATCTAATGAAAAGGTTGAAAGCAGCAAAAAGTCTGGGACTAACTCTAGAGAATAAAACCAGTTCTCTATTATTTATTAGGTTAGTTGTTTCACTCAACAGTTACCAGGTTCCCAATTTATGTCCCTATTATGTTTTTTTTTTCTGCCTCTTTGTTACTCCTTAGCCTCCTCCTAGACACAGACAGAAGGTCATGAGACATGAGGAGTAAATTCACATCAAACAATTTTACTTCTGATAATTATTAGTTCAAGTGAAAAGATTGGTAGAAACATAGTGGAAGTATTTCTTTGTTTTCTACTCTATTCTTGAATTGCCAGGGTAATTCGATGCTTTTGTTTTGCCATGGATAATTAAGACTTGCCTGAACATAGCACAGGCATGAACTACCATTAGTAGAGGAGAATTTTATTCTTTATTATATTGTGATTAGCTAGTATTTGTATGTCAAGTGTATTTATCATCTACATTTAATAATGATTTCTTTCTCATTTTATAAAAATACTAAGCATTAACAATGGACATTATTTCTAATAATATAATAATTATAATGTAACCATCATTAGTCAGTGTAAAAAAGGATTATTTTATAATCACTAACTAGCAATATAAATAACTTGCATCTTTTTCATACTATATATTAAAATAAATTCCACATGGATATAACCCCTCTATACATCAGCTTTACAATAAAAAAGAATACTTTTTAAAAGGTTTAAAGCTGGGTGCCGGTGACTCACACCTGTAATCCTAGCTACTCAGAAGGCTGAGATATGAGAAACACAGTTCAACGCCAGCCCGGGCAGGAAAGTCCATGAGACTCTTATCTCCAATTAATCACCAGAAAACCAGAAGTGCTCACCTTGAGCTGAAGAGCTGCAAGACAGTGCCCAGGCCCAGCGTTCAAGCCCCATGACTGACCCCCTCCCCCAAAAAAAGTTTAAAAAGAAAAATATTAACAAATAAATTTTAGAAGATAGTAAATTTTAGAAGATAGAGCTTTTAGAAGACTAGATACTGAAAATTACAAAGGAAATTATAAATATATAATTTATATAAATATATTTAGAATTGTATATAATATAAATATATAAATTATATGAAACATTTTGTATAGAAATAATAAAATTAAGCCAGGCACTGGTAGCTCATGCCTATAATCCTAGTTACTCAGGAGGCTGAGATCTGAGGATCACTGTTCAAAGCCCAGCCCGGCAGAAAAGTCCATGCGACACTTATATCTAATTAACCACCAAAATGCCAGAAGTGACGCTGTAGGGTGGTAGAGTTCCAGGTTAGCAAAAATGCTAAGAGACAGCACCCAGGCCTTGAGTTCAAGATCTAGCACCAGCACCACACAGTAATATTAGAAGAAAAGAAATAAAATGTTAGCCAGGCGCCACTGGCTCACGCCTGTAATCCTAGCTACTCAGGAAGCTGAGATCTGAGGATCACGATTCAAAGCCAGCCCAGGCAGGAAAAGTCTGTGAGACTCTTTTTTTTTTTTTTTTTTTTTTTTGCTTTCTGAATTTTAGCTATTAGTATTTTTTTTATTTTATTTGTGAAGATACTGTACAGAGGGGTTACAATTACATGGGCAGGATAATGCGTACATTTCTTACCAAGCATTGCAGCCTCCTCCTTTTGTTTACTCTTCACATCCTTTCCCAGCCTCCCCCCTCCCCCCCAATCCCAATCCTTCTCCTTCCCCCCCTCCCCCCCCCCCCGCACCGACGTTGTAAAGCTCGTTTTGGACATGACAACTTGTACTTCTCATTGTTGCAACAGGTCCACCTGTATCTTTAAACAACTGGTTTTTCCCCATCTCCTCCTCATGTTATACTAACATCAAATATAGTGAAAGCAGGGGTTATACTGTGGGGGAGGGACATTGTGAACCCTTAGATATGTATTTTAATGTTTTTTTCTTTCATGCATGTGTTTCTAATGCATTTATAAGATTATCTCTTTGTTGCTTTGTGAGACTCTTATCTCCAATAAACCACTAGAAAACTGGAAGTGGCGCTGTGGCTCAAGCAGTAGAGTGCTCGCCTTGAGCTGAAGAGCTGAGGGATAGCACCCAAGACCAGAGTTCAAGCCCCATGACCAACAAATAAAATAAAATAAAATGTTCTCATTTGCATCAAAGAGATATTCTTGAAATTTTTGGAAACTACAGACACAAATAGATGACTGGACAAAGAAGTTTTGATAATTCATACAAAGCACAAATGTGAAATGTGAAAACACTGTATCTCTGACAACTAATCTAGTTCAAAATTATAAAACACTATTATACATATAATTAAATTAGAACCAAAAGATAATTACTAATACTGCTGGCAGAATTGTGGTGAAACCAATATATTCATATCTATCATTGTCACCAGCTACAATTAGGAAAATCTGTAAACAACTACTAACATTTATAATGAAAACTATTACTAAGCACAAGTGGCTCACATCTATAATCCTAGCTGCTCAGGAAAGATGAGATCTAGAATCATTGAAGCCAGCCTGGGCAGAATAGTCAGAGAAACTCTTATCTCCAATTAACCAGAAAAAAGCTGGACTGGAGGCATGGCTCAAATGGTAGAGCTCCAGCTGTGATGGAAAGAAGCCCAGTGAAATCATGAGAAAGGAAGGAAGAAAGAAGACCAAAGAGGATTGATGGATTGCATTCTTTTTTAAATTGCATGAGATTAAAAGTGCACATTGGATGGATTTTTTGAGATGCTTTATTTAAAATAGCATGCTATTTATTATATAAATACTAAGTGTTTATAACAAAAAATTAATATAGGAAAGGATTTTAAACAGCAATATGAATTCACCAATAATTCACTACTTAAAATTGACCCCTGTGAAATTTTTGTGCAAGGGCTGGGAAGGTGACTCATTGGTAGAGTGTTTGCCTTGCATACACAAGGCCCTGGGCTCGATTCCTGAGCACCACATAAGCAGAAAAAGCTGGAAGTGGCGCTGTGGCTCAAATGGTAGAGCTGTAGCTTTGAACTCAAGAGCTGAGAGACAGCACCCAGGCCCAGAGTTCAGGCCCTGCAACTGACATAAATAGATAAATAAATAAATAGTGCAAAAAAACCCTCTGTATATCTCCTTGACAATAAAAAATGTAATAAATATTTTTTAATCTAAATAATAAGGAAAAGAGAAACCTCAACTATTGCAACTATGTGTGTGTCCAGGACCTTCTCAACTGCTTCACAGAAGGCAGTATAGTAGAGTGGAGAAAACACTGTCCCTGGATTGGTCGATTCTAGGATTCCTTGGCCCAGTTCTGCCATTACCAGACACAAAACTATGGGTAATTTCTTTAACCAGCATATGCCTTTGTTTTCTCATCTTTAGAGCACTAGAAGGCCAGGCATGTAGCATTGTTGTAAAGATTAAATGTATGGTCCGTGTAAAGCATTCTGCTAGTTTCTGGTATTGACATACTCTATAAAAGGTAAATGCTAACGTGAGTATTATGCGAAATTAGGTTCTTAGGAAACTTGAAACTTAGGATTTTATTCAGTGAGGATTCATTGAGCATCTGAAGCAGAAATTCATAGGATAAAACAACACCTAACATGTATAGAGAAATTAGGAAAGTGGGCCAGACGTGCAAGCTTGATGATGAGCGTCAGTGGCTCATGCTTGTAATGCTAGCTGCTGAGGAGGCTGGGATCTGAGGGTCCCAGTTAGAATCCAGCTGGTGAAGTGAAGATATGGCTGAGGATAGAGTACCAGCTTTGAGTGGTACAATCCAAGCCAAGAGCACAAGGCCGTAAGTTCAAACCCAGTAGCAGCACAAAAAGAAAACCAAAAATATGCAAGCTTATGGTAAGGTGGAGGCATTGTAGGAGTATCAGGATATGTTTTGTTTAAGGGAGATTATACTGGAGATCTCTGAACTGCTTCAATTCAGCAGTTAAAAGTTGATTCAAACTAATATACTGTTCTACCTTACCAGGGCCCCTAGAAAAGTTGTATTTTGGGGTGGAATTGGACAGTAGGGTCATTCTGAATGAAGTTGGTACCTTCAGAACAGTCCATACAATGGTCCCTGAGAAAAATTCCAAGATGTCAAGTTTGTTTCTTGCTTGTGTGCCTAGATACATGGGAAGTGCCATTTGAGGAGATCTCAGAGCTGCAGTGGCTGGGTAGTGGAGCCCAGGGAGCTGTGTTCCTGGGCAAATTCCGAGCTGAAGAGGTGGCCATCAAGAAAGTGAGAGAGCAGAATGAGACGGATATCAAGCATTTGAGGAAGTTGAAGCACCCTAACATCATCGCATTCAAGTAGGTCAAGGCTTTAAAAATAAAATAAAGAAAAAAAGAAAAAGAAATGGAGGCATTTTCTTTCTCTCAATAATATACACATAATTTCTTGGTTTGAAAGGTATTTCCCAGACACTCGATAAACTTAGTACTGTGCTTGAGTCTTAACCATCTTCTTATGTAGGAGTTCATTTTGCTAGAGTGTGTGCTGAACTGAAAGCATGTGTATGAGGCAGGAGGAAGGAAGTGGATCCCTGCCAAGCAGTCAGGTCTTCTGTATCACCTTCGTTTGTCAGTGGACCATCACAGGTCACTTAGAATCATGTGAACATCCTAAAATTCAGGTGGTTTTTTTTTTTTTTTAAGGTAGCCAGGTGCTAGCAGCTCATGCCTGTATTCCTAGATACTCAGGAGGCTGAGACCCAGAGAATCTTAGTTTGAAGCCAGCCTCGATACTCCATCTCTGATTATCTGACAAAATGCTGGACTGGAGATGTGTCTCAAATGGTAAAATACCAACTGTGAACAAGAAACCCAGCAAACTAAGCCCTGGTACAGGAGAGGATTGAATGAAAACAAGAACAAAAATGACAAAAGCTAACATCCAAAGTAATCAGAGAATGACTAGTCCCTGGTTTACAGTTATTAGTTTTCATTAGCATTCTTTCTTAAATATTAACTTAGGATAAATTCCTTTAGTCTATAGCCTCAGGTTTTGCTATATCATTTTTCTAGTAATGACAAATAAAGCTTTCTAAATTCAATGACAGTGGAGTTTTTGATAGTATCGGTATCTGTTATATTCTTTTCACAAAGTGGTTGCTTTAAAGAATGTATGAACATGTAGTAAATATCCCTAATTTAAAAAAAAAAGGAGAAATAGGCTGGGAATGTGGCTTAGTGGTAAAGGGCTTGCCTAGCATGCATGAAGCCCTGGGTTCAATTCCTCAGTACCACATAAAACAGGAAAGAAAAAAAAAACATGAAAAACCTGGAAGTAGCAATGTGGCTCAAATAGTAGAGTGCTACCTGAACAAAAGAAGCTCAAGGACAGTGCCCTGGCCAAACAAAAGGAAAATCAAACACAAATTTGTGGAAGTTACCAAATCTGGAAACACTGAGTTCTAACTGGTGTAATCTCTTTTGCCTGAACATCTCCTTGAGGTTCCTCCTTCACAAGCCTTTTAAGTGTTTCCATAGGCCAAAAGTCAAACAGATGAATGCTAATTGTCTTTATAGGAATCATGGCTCTAGTGGGATGCAAGCTTGGAAATGATAGCCTTTGGTATATTTGGTGCTATTTTTCATTCCTGTATAATAGTATAGCCAATGAAGCCATAATTAAAATTAAATAACCCACAACTTCCCCTTTCCTAAACTAGGAGCAACTTTCTCCGTCAGCCCCAAGAGGGATCCTCTCTCTGAAAAACTGTTAACTGTAAAGCTAAAAATGTCATGTGATTGTCTTCGTTGAAATCTTTTCCCCAGAGTAAAGATAGAAATTTTATCAAATGAATTTAAATCCATTTTATCAAATGGATTTATTAGATGCATATTAAAATTTCAATCCCTTACAAGACCGACTGTGACCAGGGTAAGAGGTGAAAAAAAAGAGAAGTATCAGCTCGTATGCTAGACCAGAGGAAAGAGAACATGGGAGAGAGTTTTAACTGTGATTATAATACTATCCATTGGTTGTCCTGGTAGGGCTCAGAGGATGAGTGACTAAAATAAAATCCTATACAAACCAATTATAATTTTTCAAAGATGATAAATTTCAGAAGTTAACAGAATGATTAAGTAGACAGACTAATGGAAAGACCACTTTGTTTTGGTGCCTGTACTGGAGCTTACACTCAAGGCGTAGGTACTGTCCCTTAGCTTTTTTGCTCAAGGCTGGTGTGCTACCATTTGAGACTGTACTTCCAGCTTTTTTTGCTGGTTAATTGGATCAGAGTCCCACAGACTTAACTGCCTGGGCTGGCTTCAAATTTTGATCTTCAGAGCTCAGCCTCCTGAGTAGTTTAGGATTACAGGCATGAGCCATTGTCCCCTGACAAGAAATCATCTTTTGTTCATTTTACTTCACTGAGATGATCATACTTCCTGTATGCTATGTCTTCCTCAATGGAAGAATGGACCAAGAACTTTTGAACTCAGATTAGTAGGCAGTTCAAAGAACTTTGTATAGATTAGCATGGCTTTTTGACCTCCCAAAATGATTCAGCTGTGTGTCCCAGACAAGAGAGCTTTCCAGAAAGATACTGTGGGTAATAGAAGGTCGAAATATATTCTAAGAGGGTGAGGAAGTGAAAAGCTTTCTTTTTCCTTTCTTTCTTTTGCTTCTTCCTCCTTCCTCCAGTCTTTTTCCCACCTCACCCTCTTCACCCTTCCAACCTGCTAGGCATCGTTGGGCCAGTATGGCTGTGCTGGTGCCCGGCTCTTTAGACTGACTGTACTTGAACAGTCTTTACCTCTACATGGAAAACAATAGTGCGACTGTGTCCCTGCCCCTTACACCACGCTCTTGGGTCATTGTGCAGTGTTATCTTTGCAGCCATCTGTGCCATGTGTTGTTTGGCCAATGAATCACATTCAAGACCGTCTGGAAGATATGAGGACATGATTGAATTTTAAAACATCTCTATGGATACTGACTTCTGTGCTCACAGCTTCTTTGGCATTTAGTAAGAATCGTGTCAGAAAGGGAAATGCGAGATAAGAATACTATAGACTCTTTTCTTTCCATTTTTGAAAGTAGTCTTTTAAGAAAACCCATCCTGATGGTTCCTAATAAAATTCAATGCCAAAGGAAGAAAGGATAGCAATTAGAAGTGATTAGAGAGCTGGTATTTATAGCAGCTGAAAAGCCTTGTCAGAGTACAGAGCTGATGGAATGATTGCTTCTCCTTCTACAGTCAAGAAAAATGAAAAGTTCATAACATTATCACTATTAGAACCTTTTTGGCTCAGTTTGTATGACAAATTAAAACCTGGTTGAGTAAGTTACTGCGTACCTGCAAACCATATTTATCTTAATATTTTAAGCACATGACATTATTCCTGATCTACTCGTGATTTCTGCAATTCTAATTGAAGTACCTATTTATAGTTGGTGTATAATTGTGCTTTACTGAGCTTTCCTGAAAGTCAAATAACAGAACCTGGATTTTGTTTCTCCCAGGTGCTGATGGCTCAAGTAATCCTAGCTGCTCAGGAGGTTGAGATCTGAGTATCTTTGTTCAAAGTAAGCCAGCACAGGAATGTCCTTGATACTCTTATCTCTAGTTAACTAGGAAAAAGCTGAAAGTGGAGGTGTGGCTCAAGTGGTAGTGCTCCAGGCTTAAGGGAAAAAGCTAAGGGACAGCACCTAGGCCCTGAGTTCAAGCCCCAGTACTGGCACACTCAAAGAAGGATTTTTTTTTAATTAAAGATGAAGGTAAGAAATTCAGGTAGCCGAGAAAATGAATGTAGGAGAACGTAGAAAGGGCTTGGTGGTATTTGACAGGTCCATTGTGGCAGGAAAATGAAGACTAATTCATAACCTGTTATTGTTACAAGACCTTCACATGATCATTACCCCAAGCCATGGCATCCAAATTCTTTCATCACTTAGAGCTGCCTAAGAGATAGGACATGAACTGGTAACTGGCTGATGACTTTAATTAGATGTCTTGTAAATAATATTCTAATCTCTATAAAGTTTCAAAGGGAGAAGCATAAGAGATAGAACATGCAAATTTACATGTAATCATTTTTCTTCTCATGTTGAGTACAAAACTGTGAAAATGCTATGCTTATTCACAGTGTAATACCTAATGGTATATATGTATAATAGGAATTGTGGATATTCTTGTCTATATAGAAGTTTAAACGCTAAGAAGGAGGCAATGTAGTATAGTAAGAAGAAGGAGCCTAGGTTTTGAGTTAGACTCGGTTCCAATGTAATTCTGTCACTTAGTAGTATGAACTAGTTCTGATTAAGAGAAGTCATTTGTACGCTGAGCCTTCCCTATAAAAGTAGAAGAGGTCATAATCTGTTTTACAACCTTCATTCGTCAGTGTTCACAGGGCTGTGATTGAATATCTTACAGAAACATCTTAAGGAGGCATTATGTATTTTGGCTTCCAGGTACAGAGACATCAGTCCTTCGGTGGACAGGAGAGCATAGTAGAATAAAACAGTTCACATCATGATAGCCAGGAAACAGAAAGAGAAAAATAAGGGAAGAAGCCAAGGCCAAACATAGCCCCAAAGGACACTTTCCCCACAACCCATTTCTCCCAGCTAGCCCCCTCTCACTCTTCACCATCTCCCAGTAAGAATATCATGTTTTGCAGCCATCAAAGGATTTATCCATTCACGAGGCCAGTCCTCATTATCTCATTGTCCTTGGAAATGCCACCACAGACATGCCCTGAAACGTACTCTGCTAATCTTCTAAGCCATTTCTTAATCCAATCAAATTTGCAATCAAAATTACTCATTACACAGTGGTTTGGGGACAAAGACAAATGAACACATAAACATGCTTGAAAGTTGTGAGATGTTCTTTCATATTAGTGTCATTCCTCCTTCTCCATGCTCTGCATATTTTATTGTGAAGATCTTTTCCAGCTATGAAAGTTGAGGTCAAGTTTAAATTTGCCAAAGATTTCCTATGAACCCCCAAAGCCTCATGGAAGAAAATGAAAAAAAAAACTCAAAGATGTGCATATAAAAAAAATTCAAGGTGGCTCAGCGGGAGAGTGCTTGCCTTGCATGCCTGAGGCCCTGGGTTCAATTCCCAAGCACCACATAAACAGAAAAGGCTGGAAGTGGTGCTGTGGCTCAAGTGGTAGAGCACTAGCCATGAGATGAAGAGCTCAGGGACAGTGCCCAGGCCTAGAGTTCAAACCCCATGACCGACAACAACAACAACAAAAAATTCATGGCTAGCCAGACACCCGCGTCTCACCCCTGTAATTGTAGCTACTCAGGAGTCTGAGAGTTGAGTTCCGCTGTTCAAAGCCAGCCTGGGCAGGAAAGTCCAAGAGACATATCTCCAATTAAGTATCAAAAGAAATCCCACAAAAAAAGCAAAAACAGAAGCGAAGCTGTGGCTCAAGTGGTAGAGCATTGGCTTTGAGCTCAAAAGCTCAGGGACAGTGCCCAGGCCTCGCCTGAGTTCAAGCCCTTTGGGCACACACATGCGCACGCGCGCGCGCGCACGCATACACACACACATACACACAATCATGGCTACTGAATAAATCAGGGATTGACATAATTAGGGAAGGCTTTACAGAAGGTGTAGAAATAGATGGAAATATAGACTATATAGATGTACAAAATATAACCCTACTTTTATTCTAAGCAAAAATATTTTTCAAAGATTATATAAGACAGAAAGATGGTTTTTATTGTTTAATGGTCATCAGCTTTGAGCAATTTTAAATTCAATAAATGAGGTTGGAGACATGTCTCAACTGTTAGAGCACTAACCAGTGAGTCAAAATATTAGTACCATTTTTGAGTCCCAGTCCCATACCAAAAAGCAATTCAACAAATATGTAAAATAGCAGTATTTTGTTTGAATTTTCTATAAACTATATATAAAACTTTCTATTTGTTTAAATTAAAAAAATAAATTATTCTTAACATTTTAAAACTACTCAGTAAAATTACTCCAGCTTATAAAAAATAGATACTCGGTCCCAAGACTCCATGGTCCTACATAAAACCATCAGGCACAGCACAACATGTGGATATCTGGACTGAAGAGCACAAAACAAAAATTGTCTATATGCAAAACAGAGAAATCTATAGATCTTAAAGCTAACTTAAGACTCAAGAACTATTTTCTTTTTTTTTTTTTTTCAGTCGTGGGGCCTGAACTCTGGGCCTGGGCGCTGTCCCTCAGCTCTTCAGCTCAAGGCTAGCGCTCTACCACTGGAGCCACAGCGCCACTTCTGGCTTTTTTCTGTTTGCTTATGTGGTGCTGAGGAATCGAACCCAGGGCCTCATGCATGCAAGGCAAGTGCTCTACCACTGAGCCACCTTCCCAGCCCAAGAACTATTTTCTATATGAAGTTTTTAAATCATTTGGGGCTGGGCATCAGTGGTTCACACCTGTAATCATAGCTACTCAGGAGGCTGAGCTCTGAAGATCATGGTTCAAAGCCAGCCCAGGCAGGAAAGGCTGTGAGACTCTTATCTCCAACTAATCACAGACAGTGCTGGAAGTGGAGCTGTGGTTCAGGTGGCAGAGGGCTAGCTTTGAGCAAAAGGCGCTTAGGGACAGTGCCCAGGCCCAGAGTTCAAGTCTCATGCCCAGCAAAAAAACAAACAAGATCATTTGGATAAGAATTGGTCCTACCTAAATATTCTTTTTTTCCCCTTTCTTCTTCCTCCTCCCTCCTCCTCCTCCTCCCCCTCCTCCTCCTCCTTCTCTTCTTTTCTTTTTTTTTGGCTTGAACTCAGTGCCTGGGCATTGTCCCTGAGCTTCTTTTGCTCAAAGCTAGCACTCTACCCCTTGAGCTACAGGAGCACTTCTGGCCTTTACTGTTTATGTGATACTGAGGAATCGAACCCAGGGTTTCATAAATGCTAGGCAAGCACTCTAGCTGTAAGCTACAGTCCCAACCCCTAAACACTCTTAATAAATATTATGTATCTGTATGTATTTGTACATGTTTATGTTTTCTTGGAAGGGGGGTGTGTACCCAGGCCCCATGTTATTGTATCATCATGGAGTACTGTGCCCACGGACAGCTTTACGAAGTCTTGCGAGCTGGCAGGAAGATCACCCCACGACTGCTCGTAGACTGGTCCACAGGGATTGCGAGTGGAATGAATTACTTACACCTGCATAAAATTATTCATCGTGATCTCAAATCACCTAAGTGAGTGCTGTAGTCAACTTTTTTTGTTACCTTTTTTTGCTTTGTTTCTTAAAATAGGGAATTTTTATCTGCCTTAGTTGGAGTTAAATTCAAGTTCAGTCTGTGTCAACAGAGTGGGTAATTTTTATTTTCATCCCCTTTGCATTATTGTTATTTTCATGGCAGGTACATTCGGATACATGCACTAGTTTTCCTGTTTTGTTGCTTATAAAGTTTTGACTGTGAAGTAAAATTCATTATCCTGTAAGGTATTTTCTTTTATCAGTTCAGATAATTCATGCTAGACTTCCTACTTGAAGATTGGTTCATTTCCCTACTGTGTTCAAAATGTATTTTTGATGAGTTTTAAAAATGTATACAACAGGATAAAAATGGGTGAATAAGAAACAGGGTAAAAGAAAGTAAAAATATTAGGACTAAAACTTGTTCACAGAATGTATGCCATAAGATTCTGTACAGTTTTTTGACATGGACTAAAGATGTGGTTTTGAAGTTCTGAGAGTCCAAGCAGGAAGAAATCAATAGTTACTCAGTTCACAGTAGCTCTAAGGAAAATAGTTATTACAACAACAGAGCTGTTCTAGTAATCTCCTCTTTCAAAATAATTAATTGGTAACTGATAACTAACCACTCTGAGATGTATTTATTCAATTCCCAAAATTTCATGAAGGAAAGAAAGGAATTGATTAAATAGATTGTTTACATGTACCCCCCCTTTTTTGTCGGTCATGGGGCTTGAACTCTGGGCCTGGGGCGCTGTCCCTCGGCTCTTCAGCTCAAAGCTAGTGCTCCACCACTTGAGCCACAGCACCACTTCTGGCTTTTTCCATTTATGTAGTGCTGAGGAATCGAACTCAGGGTCTCATGCATGCAAGGCAAGCACTCTACCACTGAGCCACCTTCCCAGCCCTGTACCCCCCATTTTAAGCATTATTTTTATTGTTTTCTATTACTGGTTGGTTTGGTGTAGTAAATGTTTAAGAATTTGCCTAACAGTTTCATAGTTTACAACATCTTTTTTTTTTCTTTTTGCCGATCCTGGGGCTTGAACCCAGGGCATGGGTGCTGTCCCTGAGCCTCGTTGTACTCAAGGCTAATGCTCTACCACTTGAGCCACAACACCACTTCTGGCCTTTTCTGAGTAATTTATTGGAGATAAGAGTTTCCTGGACTTTTCTGCCCAGGCTGGCTTCAAACCTCAATCCTAGATGTTAGCATCCTGAGTAGCCAGGATTACAGGTGTGAGCCACCAGCACCCACTGCAACATTTTTATATCCATTTATCACATCTTCTTGGATTCTGGCAAAAGCAGAATAGATGTGACAATATCATTATTCTTGTAGATATGAAAAACAGGAGGTTAGAACTTAAAACCCAGATCTTTTGAACCCGACTAGTAGTATGTAGGGCTGTCAGTACTTTGGATATGTATTTATTTTTAAGGAATAAAAAAACGTTGGTTCCAATAGGCATTTCAGATTAATTCCTATACAAAGTTAAACATGACTTGTAAGGAACTCATTTAAGCTTCGATTTATTCCTTTTCACCCTAATCAGCACTGATGAAATCCCAGACCTCATATTCGCCCTTTAGTGTAATGAATCATTAGTGTCATGGTCCTGTTCATGATTTTAGTTGGCTGTGGTTTAAATAATGTTTTAAAAAATGTTTTTCTTGGGCTGGGAAGGTGGCTCAGTGGTAGAGTGCTTGCCTTGCATGCATGAGGCCTTGAGTTCCATTCCTCAGCCCCACATAAGCAGAAAAATCCGGAAGTGCTGCTGTGGCTCAAGTGGTAGAGCGCTAGCCTTGAGCTGAAGAGTTGAGGGACAGCACCTAGGCCCATAGTTCAGGCCCCATGACTGACAAAAAAAAATTTTTTAATAGATTGGCTGAGACTGAAATTTTATTAGGTCATTATTATAGGTCCACAATCCCTTATCCAAAACTTGGGAATGAGATGGTTTCAGAAAGGTTACCCAGTGCATTTCCTTTGACATCCAGCTTGTAAATCTGGAGCTAAATCCTGTAATCATCCATATGAACATACCTTTAGCAAAACCCTATGAAATATACACACAATCAATAGGCTGAAGTTATTTTGCTCTAAGCATGTGAAAAATTATGTGTAAACCATTTTGAGAGCTTTGTTGCATTTTTTGAATTGCATATAAAACATTATAGCCTGAATTGTCTCCATTTTATTAGAGAAGATGATGAGCTTTGATGAGTTAAAGTAACTTGGTAAAATTCACAGCAAAGGATGGAGATAGGGTGTTAAAAGCTCTCTTGCTCAGCTGCCTACCAGTGTCCATGTTGCAGTGTCTAGTGCAGAGCGAAGGCCCCAGGACATTGGAACTTGCTAGCTGAATTTTGTAGAGTAGAAGGTAGTAAACAAAATCTTTACTTGCCTTCAGAATCATGGTGATGATGACTACTAATGATTTGGATGTGTTCTTTCTTTCTCTCTTTCTCTCTCTCTCTCTCTTTTTCTTTCTTTCTTCCTTTTAGTGTTTTAGTGACTCACACAGATGCAGTAAAAATTTCAGATTTTGGTACATCTAAGGAACTCAGTGATAAAAGTACCAAGATGTCCTTTGCTGGCACAGTTGCATGGATGGCACCAGAGGTGATACGGAATGAACCTGTCTCTGAAAAAGTTGATATTTGGTGAGTGGCATATTCTGGACCAACTAGAGAGCCTTTTCTCACTTTCACCTTTTTTCTTCCCAGATTTTTTTATGGTTGATTTTGGCCTCATATTATCGAAGATACCATCCAGTGTGATATGTGGTAAGACAGATTGAGGGCAGGTGGTGGGGAGGGGATTAGAATGAGAATCTAGTTAGTAAATCAGAGAACATGAAGAACTTTCTGGAAAACTGAAACATTACTTCAGTAACCATGTAGTATAGAACTCTTTCTGGAATATATTACTTAATTCTCATCTTTTTTAGTGAAATATTTTAAATAAAACTCACCTATTCTTAGCCAGGCACATGCCTGGCTCATGCCTGTAATCCTAGCTACTCAAGTGGCTGAGATCTTAGTGTTTTAGTGACTCACACAGATGCCCTGCTTTCCAGCCAGGGCAGGAAAGTCTGTGAGACTCTTACCTCCAATTAACCACCAGAAACCCAGAAGTGATGCTGTGACCAGAGTAGTAGAGTGCTTGACTTGAGCAAAAGAGCTCAGGAATAGAGCCCAGGCCCTGAGCTCAAGCCCTATGACCGACAAAACAAAAACAACTTATCTATTCTTTTTTTTT